CTTTTTAAATGGAATTACTGAAATAAATCTACTTTTTCATGATATTCTAATTTTATGACCAGCACCTGTAAAGGCCTACTATAGATTTTTGTTCTTTCCTGTAAAAGACTTTTTTATTTACCTAATTTCTCACACAGTAAAGGATTTTGTTTTTATTTCCAATTATTCTCTCTTGGAATACAGTTTTTATTGATTGTTTTTGAGATGGTGATGATGAAGACTGAGAGGCTCCCAGTTTATTAAAACAGGTCAAGGAAATCATTAAAAACTGTATTTCATTTGTCAGACACAGTCTGAAAAAAAGAATGTAATCAATAAAATTTGCATCAAAGCATATCTGCTTCTGGATGCATTTTTGCAAGAGGGCAAATTTCACTACAAACAGCACTGGCATGTAAGCTACGTATAGTCATAGGCTACAATGAGAAGCAATGGTGCACTGATTCACACATGAGTGCTGTATTTTGTATTTTGTTGTCTATTGTGTACTGATTGTTTGGAGGTGCTCATACATTGTGTCAAAGTTGAATTGTTTGAAGGCAAAGTTTGCTTTTGTTCCATATTTTAAATGTTTTGACACAGTTATTGCCTTTTGCAAACAAAATGTCATTTTGACCACTGTGTCAATGTTTAGGCCTCTGCTTTAACTGTTTTGAAAATGTGGTTTTTGAGTTGACGGCTGTGTCAAACCAGTCAATAAAAACTGTAACAGAGCCATCTTTATTTCCTGGCTGTGCTCTGTCCTGACCCCATTCTGTTCAATGGGTGCAATGACCGTCACCTGCGTGGCTTGGTTGATAAATTGTAGTGTGCTTTAAAAAAGCACAATGTCAATGCAAACCGCACCAAAAGAAAAAAAAGGTCTATTTGGTCTGGACCAAACAAGTGGAACAAAGGACTATACTGGTGTGAATACACCCAAAAAGTAAAGCAGCCCTGGCTTGAATGACTGAGTGATTAACAATCTTCTGAAGACCTGCTGAATAGCAGGGAAACAAGTAAAACATGCTGGATAGAGGATCTTGAGGACCAGGGTTGGCCAGACTTCAGAGTCAGAGCAGCCTTTGTGGTGTTACAAAAATTTGGTGGTGCACGACTAGACACCGGGATATCGTGTGGGGCCAATGCGCAGGGGCATGGACGGTGCAATTGTGTCCCTGTTGGCATGTGCCCCCTTGCGTCTGGTGCAACCCGTCAACTATTAATCTAGCTTAACATCTGATTTTCTCTGGGGCACATGAACATGAAAATTCAAAGCCGTGCCATTCAGAGGAATTGTGTAACTATTAACTAATACAATTTATTCCATCAGGTATATTTGTTGTTATATTAAATAAACTTCATAAACATTTCTAGTAGATTATATTTAGGCCCGTACCACCCCGATTTTGAGTGAAACCGCAGTTTTTTTTCCTGCGGTTTGGTCAATCGTGTACATGGCACCAGCCGTTGTTCTCTATGAAACCAGAGGTTTCTGAATCCTGGGCTACATTCACCCTGCAGGTTTTAATGGTCAGTTCTGATTTTTTTGAAAAAATCTAATCTTTTGGTGTGAATGTTCACATTATATTTTAAATGCGACCTGCATCAGACCCCTGTGTGAACGCTACACAGCGCTGATGTGACACGCATGCACAGTAAAAGACGTGCCGTCTCATTCAGCTGGCTTGTTTGTTTACAGAGTTAGCATGGATGCTTTAACATGTCAAATCTGAAGTTGTTGCCGATTAAATTATCTGACGTGCTTGTTTAGTTCAGTGTTTATATCTGAACCTGCCTCTGACTGGGATGCTCTGGTCTTCTTATTTTTGGAACAAAGCAACGAGCTGGAAATAAAGTTTAGACCGTGTAACTTTAGGATCGATATGCTCCGTGACCGATGCTGGACGTTACTCTCTATATGGAAAATGAAAAGTAAAAAGATGAAGCAACTGGACTTGTGTTTTGGAGCTGTAAACACACGGAGCTACAGATTTAAACAGCGTGACTTCAGGTTAGTGTCTTATAGATCCTTCACCCCCACCACCCTGATGAAAAAGTCAGATGGAATGTGACATGAGCGTTCACATTGCAGTCGCTTTGAAAACATAGGATATGTATCTGATTTAGAACCACATACTGAAATGGTTGGCTTTAATTGAAAAAAAATTTTTTTGCTCCTCTTTTTCTGTGCACATTTTCACCAAACGTAACACACATCTTGTCTTACAACACCCTCACTCAGCATATATGACTGATTGAGTTTTAAGTACAGCAAATCTACTGTTTTGACTCAAAATAAAATAATTTTAAAGGAACAGTTAAACACTTTACTGTATCCCATTTGGCAACCTTGCCTGGTACATTACTGCAGTGATTCCATGTAAACGGGTGATTTTTGTTTTTTGGTGTATTCACCCTAGTAAATATTAGCATTTTCAGAGACCAGTCTCATATAAACGGCCTTAGAAAAAGAAGCAAACTGTGTTTTTTGATCCTACTTGAAAATCTGACTAAAGACTGCTTTGTAGGAATTTCTAATTAAGCACAAAATTACTAAGCTAATTGCTGTAACTTAGTATATGAGCTCTGAATAATCCTGGTTTGACTCGATAATGAGCAATAAGAATATTTACCTGAAATGGTGCCAGTATTAGAAAACCACTTGTACTGACAAGGCAAACCAATATTTACTGATTAAGGGGAAAATAAGTTCAGATTGAAATTCTAGTGAAAGTTTGGGAATAGGATTCACACGTCTGTGTGACGTTTCTGTGCACCTCATATACACACTAATGTTTGAGCAGAGGGCGGCACGGTGGCTCAGTTGGTAGAGCAGATGCCTCTCAGCATGAAGGTCACTGGTTCAAATCCCAGTCCGGGGACCTTTCTGGGTAGAGTTTGCATGTTCTCTCCGTGCATGCGTGGGTTCTCCCCAGGTACTCCGGCTTCCTCCCACAGACCAAAAACATGACTGTTAGGTTAATTGATAACTCTAAATTGTCCCTAGGTGTGAGTGAGAGAGAGTGAATGGTTGTTTGTCTCGTTCGTCTCTATGTGTGGCCCTGTGATGGACTTGTGACCTGTCCAGGGTGAACCCTGCCCCTCGCACTGTGACTGCTGGATATGGGCACCAGTGACCCACGTGACCCTGAAAAGGAAGAAGCGTGTACAGAAAATGGATGGATGGATGGATGTTTGAGCAGAGAAATTTGCTGTTTTGTATGCAGTAGAAAATTATGATTCTGTTTAATTGGTGTATGTTATTTAGTTAGTGAATAGCTGATTCCAGATCCCAATAGACTTCTGTGAGGCAACACTTCTAACCACTAAGTCGTCATGCTTAAAGGTTGAGAATCATGGCTTTAAAAAATGCAGAAGTTTGATGTGCAAGAGGATGCACGAGTGTCTTATCAATATATAGTATAAGCACAACTACAGTCACTTGTGTTATTTTTTTTGTTCTGCAGGTGGCTATGCTTTAGATTACACAACAGGAACAATGATGACCTTTGCCACTGTCTTTGCTGTGATGTTCAACGGTTGCACTGGCATCATGGCTGGCTCGAACATGTCCGGTAAGTGAGAGGAACTTGTTTTCTAATCTGGGAGGAGTGTTGTTGTCAATTGAATAAATTAAAGCATAATACTAGGTATTTAACAAGAAAGAAGAAGTAGTGCTGGGCAAAGATTAAAAATTTGAATCTCGATTAAGCTCAAGAAGGTTTTGCCATTATTTGCATTTATTTTTTTTAGAAATGACCACTCTACTATGGCTGAACATGTAGGTTTGTATGATGCAATACACTGTGCGTAACACACTAGATACTTTTTTCCTATTTGTTTTTATTTTTATCTTATAAATTGTTTATTTTTTACAGACAACTGTGACTTCAGTATCTATCTTTCATTCCTCATGGAGTACTCATTTGTAATGAAAAAAAATCCTTGAATTCTTGATTTAAACCTCAATATTCTGCACAAAATTTAACTGACTCAAAGGTGTTTAGACCATTTTTTAAGTACTGTTTTATAATAAAGAAAAGGGGCAATGCATTGCGGGAGATCGACAGGCGGATTGGCGCAGCGTCTGCTGTAAAGCGGGCGCTGTACCGGTCCGTCGTGGTGAAGAGAGAGCTGAGTCAGAAAGCGAAGCTCTCGATTTACCGGTCGATCTACGTTCCTACCCTCATCTATGGTCATGAGCTTTGGGTCATGACCAAAAGAACGAGGTCCCGGATACAAGCGGCCGAAATGGGTTTCCTCCGCAGGGTGGCTGGGCTCTCCCTTAGAGATAGGGTGAGAAGCTCGGTCATCCAGGAGGGACTCAGAGTAGAGCCGCTGCTCCTCCACGTCGAGAGGAGCCAGTTGAGGTGGCTCGGGCATCTGGTAAGGATGCCTCCTGGACACCTCCCTGGTGAGGTATTCCGGGCACGTCCCACCGGGAGGAGGCCCCGAGGAAGACCCAGGACACGCTGGAGGGACTATGTCTCTCGGCTGGCCTGGGAACGCCTTGGAGTTCCCCCGGAGGAGCTGGAAGAAGTGGCTGGGGAGAGGGAGGTCTGGGCCTCCCTTCTGAAGCTGCTGCCCCCGCGACCCGACCCCGGATAGGCGGAAGAAAATGGATGGATGGATGGATGGATGGGCAATGCATTTTCAAAAACTTAACAAATAAGGCAAAGCAAACAGGGCTTACTTTTTTCTATTTTTCTCCAACACGGTTCTCAGCCTCCTTTGTTTGTTTACGCTGGTTTTAAACTGAAGTGATATTTCAGGCTTGAACTGCTCCAGTGGGAGACAGTTCAGCATTGCAGCGCTTACAGAGAACTTTACTTCTTTCCACCCCACCTTTGGGAAAAGTTTTAAAATAAAAATGCCCTGAAGAATCCGATGACTTCTGCCATCTTTCTGCCCCAGCTGCACCCTGGGTTCATGAGAGCGGCTGCGAGTTGCCACGAAACGGCTCAACAACAAAGGCTGTCATTGGTTGAGACGTGTGACAAAGGTCCATCTAAAGCCAATAGGGATCAAGATCTTGCCTCCCTGCCGTGACAACAGGATTTGTGTGTGACTGTGTGTGTTAGCTGCCCAGTGAACAGGAATTTGACAGAGAAATATAAAGAAATAAATAACTGCGTTAACGTCAGCTGCGTTAATGCAATAATAATGTGTTAATGTGCCCCGCACTAAAAAAATGTGAATGTACTGAAACAGTGGACGGAAAAAGTAAATTTGGCTTGATATTTAAAAACACCTAGGGGCAACATTTTTAATTTTTGGTCCACCACTAAAAGTAAAAGCACGAATAGCTTTACCCAGGTCTGTAAGTGTGTGTTGGTTTGTAGCATTAGCAAAATATCTCATGAACTAGAGGACAAAAAATTAATCAAAATAAAAAACAAAAATCAATGAACATACATCTACACCTGACTAACCTTTGGGGCTGCAAAAACTAAGAAAGCTTAGCCAAATTAAAAGAATGCATACTCAGGCAATTTTACAAATATTAGGCTAAAATTTGGTGTGCTAGTAGGTGGGAGTCATTCTGAACACATACCTAAGCTCTCTACTCTTTGTGCAAGAGCTTGGCTGTAATCTTTGAAATTAACTGTTGAACTTAATCCTGCTTGACCAATAACAAAATATCTCACAAACCACTGGATGGATTTAAATAAGACTTTCAGTAAGTAATCATTCAGGGTACAACTACATCAAATTGAGTACTTGTTGGAGTCGACTCAATTTAAGATAGCCACCACAACTTATTGATCTTAGCAAACACCAAAATGACTATAACTCTGAGGTTAAGTGGAGAACAAAGAAGGTGGTGGGGAAGTGGATCTCGACAGTGAAAAACAATCAGAATCAACTTTATTGACTTTAGATGCTTTTATAGGCCAAGTATTATAGGCCAAGTATGTGTGCCCAAACAAGAAATTTAACTTTGGTTACAAAGCACAGCAACAGTGGGTTGACAAGCTAATGGCTTACCTAAGAGGGAGCAAGAGAAAGTGGATTACTGTCGTCTTAAAGCCTGGTTTATAGTTGACACGTCGCACCGGGCGTGAAGAGATGCACGCTAAAAGTGACTCAATCGCGCCATCCCTGCCCCTGCGCGGTGTCCCGGCACGTGGTCTTGCACTTCCGAAATTTTGAAACTCCACGAGAGATCATAAAGACAACCAGATGGCACAAAACTCATGGAAGGAAATAGCAATGGCTTTAACGGCTTTAAAGAAAGATGAGTTAATATGTCGGAAGACATGGAAAAATATTTGTGACTGGTTTTTGAAAGCCAAGAAGAAGGTCAGCAGAAGTGGTTATCCTGGAGGAAACAAACCAGTGTGGATCTCAGTTCGTGAAGCACAGAGAAACAGATAATAGGGAGAAAGAGGTAAATGTGGTCACTTTAGAACAGCGTGCAACTTTAAATGCACACAGCGCGCGTCTTCCGGGCATGCGCACTCCGGGGAGCATGCGCGAATACCCAGAGCGCAACTATAACCGAGCCTTATAACAGCTTCTACATCTAAAATGTCAGTGGTTCATGTGAAGGGTATTTAATAAACCTGAACACTGCTGTCAGTTTTATCTTTTATGATTATTTCAGCTGAAATATTAAGATATATGTTTATTTAAAATGTTACAGCTTTGGGCAGAACGATGAAATATACAGTACATGTTAATTCAGTCTGATTTTTCTGGCAGATGAAATTTTTTTACAGAGAACTTAAGCCGAAAATAAACTTACAGTAATGTGCGAAAGTTTGGGCAGCCTTGTTAATTTTCCAGATTTATCTTTATAAATCATTGATTGTTTGGATTTAAAAAATCAGTAAAATATATCATATAGGGGACAAACACAATGATATTTGAGAAGTGAAATGAAGTTGATATGATTTACAGAAAGTGTGCAATAATTGGTTAAACAAAATTAGGCAGGTGCATAAATTTGGGCATTGTTGTCATTTTATTGATTTCAAAACCTTTAGAACAAGTTATTGGAACTCAAATTTGGTTTGAGAAGTTCAGAGACCCTTGACCTCCATACACAGGTGACTCCAATTATGAGAAAGGGTTTTAAGGGAGGCAATAGTAAGTTTTTCTCCTCTTTGCATCTTCTCTAAAGAGTCGCAGCATGGGAGTCTCAAAACAACTTTCAAATGAGCTGAAAACAAAGATTGTTCACCGTCATGGTTTAGGGGAAGGATACAGAAAGCTATCTCAGAGATTTCAGCTTTCAGTCTCCACTGTGAGAAACGTTGTGAGAAAATGGAGGACCACAGGCACAGTTCAAGTGTAGGCTCCAAGTGGCAGACAAAGAAAAATCTGGAATAAACAGAAGCAAAGGATGTTGAGAAGAGTCAGAGTCAACCCACAGACCAGCACCAAAGACCTACAACATCATCTTGCTGCTGATGGAGTCACTGTGCATCGTTCTACTATTCAGCACACTTTACACAAGGAGATGCTGTATGGGAGAGTGATGCAGAGGAAGCCTTTTCTCCACCCACATCACAAACAGAGCTGCTTGAAGGTTTGCTAAAGCACATTTGGACAAGCCAGCTTCATGTTGGAATAAGGTGCTGTGGACTGATGAAACTAAAATAGTTATTTGGGCAGAACAAGGGTCATTATGCATGGAGGGAAAAGAATACAGCACTCCAAGAAAAACACCTGCTACCTACAGTAACATTTGGTGGTGGTTCCATCATGCTGTGGGACTGTGTGGCCAGTACAGAGACTGGGAATCTTGTTAAGGTTGAGGAACGCATGGATTCCAATCAATATCAGCAGATTCTTGAGACTAATATCCAAGAATCAGTGACAAAGCTGAAGCTGCTGAAGCCAGGGCTGCATCTTCCAACAAGACAACCACCCTAAACACTGCTGAAAATCTACTAAGGCCTTCATGCAGAGGAACAAGTAGAACGTTCTGGAATGGCCATCTCAGTCCCCAGACCTGAATATTGTTGAAAATTTGTGGTGTCACTTACAGATAGCTGTCCATGCCCGGAAACCATTAAACTTGAATGAATTAGAGATGTTTTGCATAGAAGAATGGTCTAAAATACCTTCATCCACAATCCAGACTCTCATTAGAAGCTATAGGAAGAGTTTAGAGGCTGTTATTTCTGTGAAAGGAGGATCTACTAAATATTGAGTTAAGGTTTTTTTTGGTGCCCAAATTTATGCACCTGCCTAATTTTGTTTTACCAATTATTGCACACTTTCTCATATAAACTGCATTTCACTTCTCAAATATCACTGTGTTTGTCCCCTGTATGATATATTTAACTGATTTTTTTAAAATCCAAACAACCAATGATTTATAAAGGTAAATCAGAAAAATTAACAAGGCTTCCCAAACTTTCGCACCCCACAGTATCACCTACCGGTAGTTTGGTTTCTGTTACCATGCTGATTTAGGTAGTCTTAAGGAACTCCTTCCCTGGCTCAATTCTAGCCCACACAGTGCACTACCACTTGGCCCAGATACCGCAAACGATGACCCAGATGTAGTTTGCCAGTGGTGGTCCATGCATGGGCCAGCAACACATAAACCAAACCACAACTGGTCCATTCATGGCATGCCATTTTCAAAACATTGCCATCATTGCCAGACCTGGCCCACGTTGAGTTTCCAAACCACCTGTCATGCCAGCAGTTAGCAAGCTTGACACCAGATCTGGCTCACACCTGTCTGCTATGTGCATCCTTTGTGATACTGAAAACTTTGATTTTAAGCTTAACATAGCTGGTTATGCTATTCAGTTTTGTATTATGGCTCAATGTTGAGCAACATACTGTATAATGATGTTCTCATACAGACAGTAAATGCAGAAAAAAACATTTTTGTATGATTTTGAAATAAAATCTCTTATTCACCAGGTGACCTGAAGAATCCCAGCTTCTCTATTCCTCGTGGAACCATCACAGCCGTGATCTTCACTTTCATCATCTACAACCTGCTAATCATTCTCGTAGCCTGCACCTGTGACCGGTCTGTAACACATTTCTATTTTAATTCCACACTGGTATTAGCTTTCAGCTACTTTTACTTGCTGCAATTAATTTAGTATTGCAAGTATCTTGCAAGCAAACAAAGAGCAGTGAAGTAATCAGCAGTACAACAAATGTCACACAATTTCAAAACAGACAATTAAATATTGGAGGACTAATGCTTGTCGTCATAAATGTTAGCATGATGTGTTTTAAGCAGATGAAATCCAATACATTGAAGGTATCAGATACTGAAATCAGCGTTAATTTTCTGCTTCATCAAACACAACTGTAAAATTCAAAAGAGGTGGCCAGTTTAAAGCTGTTTACTAAATGTTTCTCAGTATTTGCTGTTGTGGTAATCTACCCAAAACCTCATGTGTGAATGAGTAATGGAAATGTACAACTGTGTTGACATAATCAGTTTCATTTTTGACTCTGGTTGACAGATAATGATTAGAACTTAGCAATGTTTTGAATAAGTCTTACAAAGTGTACTTATTATGACCCCCACACGCAAAGCGGGGGTCATCTTGTTTTCGTACAGGTTTTTTCCCTCTTTTTTTCTTTCCAGTGATTTTTGGTCAATTGTAGCACAAAAACAGCTGCACCAATTGACATGAAATTTGGTTGGACTGTAGATGAATCTGACCTACACTGCGCCTAGTGACAATTCAAGGCTCCAGCATGCTGCAGCCGAACTGCCGAAATCATGCCGAACTGTCGCATTTTCATGACAAAAATTGCGCCATTCTGTTCGCATTGTCGACATTTCGGTACTTCTTGTCACAACCCACCGGTCGAACTTTTCACCCCCCTCCCCATAAGAACATGTACGAACTATATGGTATGATTGGCCAGAAGTTCGTGGGAATGTTTGTTTGTGCTGAAAGCGCTCAGACGCTGCATTTTGCTTCAACCACTCGCTTGAAAAAAAAGAAAGGAAAAAAAGTGACTCGCTTCCAGAGCCGACTGTATCAGGAAGCAACGATTTTTAAAGATAGTCAAACGGCCAAAAACTCATAAAAGGGGGTAAAACAAACGCTTTTCACGGTGGAATCTGACTGATTTGCAGCTTAATCCAGGACCAGTTTGTGGATAAAAAAACATTGGGTGACGAGTCTCTGACCTTTTTTTTTTTCGCATCGATTCCACCGGGAAGAAATCCCATGCAGTGGTGTATGCTGCAGCGGGAGGGGTTTCTCAGGAGCTCGGCGCAGGGTGTCTCAGGAACTATGAAAGGTGTGTGCAAAAACGAACGCCAAACAACCACTTGATGGCAAGTCGACCGGTCGGCTGCCGAGCGACCATACTGCCTGCTTCAGTGTTACCTTTTTATAAGAACATGCATGAATTTACTCTGTGGGGTGAAACCAGAGTTCTGAAACCAACTAATAGGATGCATTGTCTTAAGACAAACTAATTTGCAAAAATAATTAAAGGAGACCTAATATGAGGGTCCTAGAACAAGTTAGGATCCATCTGTGGGCTAAACAAAACACGTTCATTTGATTTAATTCAGAGCGGAAAAAAGTTCAAAACTTATTTCTAGTGGCAGAAGAGGTTGGAAGATGGCTGTTTAATGTATGCTTTAATATTGCTAGAACACTGCTATCAAGAATAAAAGCTAAGTTAAATTAAAATAAAATTAATCCACACATCTCTGTCCTCCATGACTGTGAAGCAGCAGAACTGTCCTGTGAAGAAGTGGGCGGAGCCTCTGCTTGGGTTACGAGGAAACGAGTTGGGCTCAGGTTGGGGTGGGCTGGAGTGCAGCCTGTGACATCACAGGCCGTGGGATTTGAAAACTTGACATTAATACACACGAAAAATACATTTACTTAGAGTAAATATACCCCTGGGTAAATTTTCTTGGTCCTAGGACAGTTTTTTTATGAAGTACATACCCAAAGTTGAGTTAAAAAACCTGTAAAAAGTGGATTTAGCATATTAGGTCCCCTTTAAAGTGACTCTAAGATGACTCATTCACACTACATTTGGCAGTGTTTGATGCATGCTGTTATTCTTTTTGATGTTAAGTTTAAAATATTTTTTTGTCTTCTAACCATCTGTCAGAGACATGACTTGTGTACTTTAGTGACTGCCTTCACTTTGCTCTTAGGAGTAGGGCTGTTAAGTCTTTGGGTTCTTAAAAGAGGCAGTTCATTTGGAGTTTTTTTTCCTCTGTTCTCTTTCTCTATGTTTCTAAATGTCTCTCTGTAGCTGTCAGTGGCTCAGTGCCAGAGTTCAGTATTGATGGAGCTCTAAAGCGAGTGTAGCCAAGGTGCTAAACTGACATGACAGGGCTATAAAAGAACATTGGAGATCAATACGACCATCATTTAGCCTGCTGCAGCATCCTCCTTTCCTCTGCTTACTACACTCACTATCAGTGAAGTTTCTCAATATACTTTCACTCCTCTGTTTGTGTTTTGTATTCACTTTCAGCATCACACTTGTTACCAATGCTTTATGTTCATTTTATTTGTAGTAGGTAGTAATATGGGTTATGTTAGCTTCATATAGTTATTTGTTTGCCAATAAAAACATAAAAGCCACTCAAATTATGTAATACACATCCCTCTTATGTCCAGGCCTAACAACGACTATGGCAGTTATACATGATTCATCCGACTTTGCACGAGTGAACTGATGTAGATACAATACCTCAAATGTTTCAGTTCAATTTGTTTATATAGCATCAATTTACAACAAGTCATCTCAAGGCACGATACAAATGAAATATCAAGCCTGTACTAGCCAGACAGCTACAATTATGGTCAATTCAAGGTTTAGGATAGGTGGGGGTTCAGAAGATAGGAGTCACACAAGCAGGTATTATTCCAGATGTCCAGAAGTTTCTATGGAAAGAAAAATCAAAGTAAACAGAGTTAATAACAGCAGTAATTGCAAACACAAACATGTAAAGTAGAAAAAAATAAGGACAATAGAGTGAGGAAATATCAGTTTTTCCAACTGCAGTCTAAGACTTCACAGCTAAGGTGTAGCTCAGGATAGCCAGGTCAAACCCATCTGTAGGATTTATCAAAAGAAAGTCTTAACAAAGAAAAGTCTTAAAAGTATACAGGATTTCCAGCCTTATGGACAGAAAATAGAAGTTCATTTAACAAAAAAAGGAGCTTGAGAATAGAAAGCTCTGTCTTCCATTCTACTTTTTGAAACTCTAGGAACCACAAGTAAACTTGTATTGTAAGTGATGTAAGGCAGGGCCTTAAAATATCCACCTTAAAACACATGCTGAGATGCAGATCAGAGAAATCCTTGCAAATCTTCAGACTCTGCAAAGTTGGTATGTTTTTCACGCTTGGAGGTGAGGATGGCATCCAGCCTGAAAAGAAGCTCCGACGTTGGTGAGATGGCTCAGACCAGAGCTAACTCCTTCTGGAGACTAACTGTGGATCAGCTGACAAGGATTGAGGCTGTAGACAAAAAAGAGCTATAAGAAATTATTTGCAGAAAGTGATATGGTCATCCAACAAATATGTTGTTTTATCAGTTGAAATTATTAAAATTTCATGATTTGATTAACAGTATAGTATAGTATAGTATAGTATAGTATAGTATACTATAGTATAGTATAGTATAGTATTTTACCAGTAATGTATAAAGTTAAAATAAAATATTACTTTAAAATATTCAAATTAAATTTAAGAGAGGAAGTCATTCTAACCTGAAGGGAAAGGAGATTTTTATAAAACCTCCATTTCAAAACAGTCTGAAGGAGCAATGTACTGTAATTCATGGTAAAGATTTGTAGAATCGTCATGCTGTTATTATAAAAACCTCTAAACAACCTGTGCTTAAAAAGATGATTAAATCAAAGTTATTTGGGAAATTGTACACAGTTTTTAGTACTTAGTGGAAATAAGAAATGAAGGATAACTAATGTTGTTTTTGTTTTTATTTTTTTGGAAATTTGGAGGTCATTCAAGTTAAGCCTTGAGCTTGAAAATGAAATAAAGGCTGATTGACTGATTACAGAGGTAGAATAACTGATCTTTTCCAGTTGGTCGACATCCAGTAAACCTGACAAAACAACCAGGATAAGTGACATAAATGGCTGCCTTAGTTCATCTGATTAAACAAGAAATGCTGGGAAATGTTGTGGAACAGAGTGCAGTGTTGTGTACATATAAATACACCCACAGCTGATCTGCTTCTGTCACACATCCCGGTCCCAAGTCCATAGTGATGGGATCATGAAGTAATCTGCTCCTGAGCTACGTGCTGAAAGTCTAACTGAAAATGTCTGCAATGTTTCTGCAGAACTCGTGACATGACTAAGTGGCTTCCAGCGTTGTGGCAATGTAAAACATTTTTTTTCTGGTTAAAGCAGGACAGATTAGGAAGCATGGGGGAAGAGTAAGAAGTGAAACATTTCCAACTTCCTCAGTGCTGTTTTTAAAGGGTTTAACACAAAAGAAACTGCTGCCTGTCTTATCTTTTTATGGCTTGGAGTTATATTTCGCTTTAATGAACCTGACTGCTGCTGAATGCAGAGTGTTTGTTTGCTAGGGAATCTGTGTAATAATTGCTTTAAAACACTGAAAATGATTGGAGTGCACACAATATGTTTGAGATTTGTTCTTGTTTACCCTCAAGTCAGCCAGATGTCAGTTTCTATATGTACAAATGGGGATATATGCGTAAATATTGGAAGAAAGGTTATTAATTTTATTTGAAATTTAGAGATAGCTCATCCATTTTGAAGTGGCGTTCTGGGACAAAAGTTATGAACACATACTACTTTACCTGTTATATAACTTTTTTAATATCCCCAGTTTTAAGAAATAGTTTAAGCCAGGCTGGACTGATGTTCCTCTAAGTCTGAGGCTATGGATCTCAACTGGAAAAGGGTTGAATTTCCCTTTCGGGTCGGGGTGAGTGTGTACCTCAAATAGTTTTAAATACCTGGGTGTCTTGTTCACAAGTGATGGTAGGATGGAGTGGGAGATGGATCGACGGGTTGGGTCCTTATCC